GTTGACCTCCATGGTAACATGGGAGACTTAGATTTAGCTACAATTACAATTTACAATTTCGACTGAAGTAATGTAGATAGATTCGGCCATACAATTATTACTGAATAGACATATTTAACAACTATTGGGTTTGAAAAATAGTGCATTGAATTCGTCAGGAAGAAAAAAGATCTAAAAAAAGCCACACCTTTTGGATGCTTCCACGCCGCAAACACAGGATTTCTTTCAAAAATTAAGAAATATTACGTAAATACGAACAGTGCAGTTCCTCATGTGTAATGATGAATTTGCATAAATTTGGAAAAGCAATTTTTACTCTTGTTTCCGCTCACTGTCAAGATGCTGTCAGAAGAAAGGAGTGAATTTGTACAGCAATATGAGGATAATACATTATTTTAGCCAGGTCTTTAAAAAAGCAATACAAAAATTAGTTTTCGTCTAGGCCGTTATGCCGGATCACTAAGTGATGATGGTTGTGAGTTGTCGAGAATATGCTGTACTAAAGCACCAAACATAACGAGTCATTAAGGAAATTTTTATTCTAAAAAGATACACGAGTAGTGATTTAAGATCGCGTCATGTCGATTCTGCTCATATCACTTTGACTCGACTTCCACATCTTTTTATTCTAAATAACATTCGGGGAGTATGACACGCGAGAAAAATGGTGAAAGAAAAAACCCTCTTCGGCAAATGTGAGATGAATTTCCCAGTAATGCTCATATACCAATAGTGCAATGTTGGAGATGGGATTAGAAATACGCCCATGGAATGAGAAGATTACTGTCAGTATTCACAAAGTAAGATGCCATCATGAAAGATTTTCTAAAATATGATATGTTAACTTTGAACACGAAGTAATTTTTAGAGTATCGTAATTAATATGCCGCATAGAATAGAAGATTATGATAGCTCACATTATTTGTTACGGTAAGCTGATGCATTGTTGAGGCGCATTGAAGTTTTCATATGACTCGATAAGTGGAAACAGGATTCGGCACGG